TTTAACTCGAACTTGGTTCGTTTTGGGCTCAACTTATTTTGAAATTTCAACTTATAAGACTTTTTTAAAAAAAAGGCCAAGATTGAACATTTTTTCAAGTCCATGTGCTCCACTTGTTTTGCTTCCAAGAAAATAGAGGGTAAAAATCTCATGGTAGAAAGTTTATATCCTCAAAGTTTGGATTTGGAACTGGTAGGTATTCAAATAATACGACCCAACTCTTTCTCCTCATTGTTTGTTGCCCTCTATTTTTGGTTGTCCCCAGATTCAATGCAACTGATTTTCTAGAACGGAGCCGGAACGGCAGGATAGTTTTCGCCGGCGACTCCATCGGGCGAAACCAATGGGAGTCTCTAATATGCATGCTTGCACAAGGAGTTTCAACCCAGTCCACTATATATGAAGACAATGGGAACCCCATAAGTAAACACAAAGGCTATCTCTCTATCCGATTCGCAGAGTACAACCTCACAGTTGAATACTACAGGGTGCCCTTCCTGGTGGTTACCGGTCGGCCGCCACCAAAAGCATCCAAGGAAGTTCGGACCACCCTCAGGGTTGACACACTGCACTGGTATTCAAACAAATGGGTTAAAGCAGATGTGCTCATGTTCAGTGCTGGACATTGGTGGAACCAGGATAAGACTGTAAAGATGTATGAGCTTACCTCCTCTGTACATATTTTTATATCCTATATACAACTCAAAGGGGGTCGAATTAGAATCGATCCAAAAAAAACTTGAAATCAAACCCAATTTCTGAAGATCGATCTCAAATTGTTGGACCTCATTAAACCATAACCTGACATCTTTTGGTCATAATTCGCCCTCATTGGAACGAAAGTCATGAAATTTGATCCAAATCTTCACCGTTATGTTGTCTTTCAGGGGGTGCTTTTTCCAGGTGGGAGAAACTGTGAACATGACAATGGATGTGATGGAAGCATTTCAGAGGTCATTACAGACTTGGAAGTCATGGGTAATTCAGAGTTTAGATCCACAGAGAAGTCATATCTTCTTCCGCAGCTACTCACCGGTGCATTACAGGCAGGTTATGTCTACCAAAAAAAAAAAAAGTTGAATTAATGGCTGCCGTAGTAGCTTCTCTTTCCCTAGAACTCTCCATGGCGAGCAGAGAAAAAAACATTAGTGGTGCTCTGAGAATTGCAGAAGATTATAATGAAGTTTTTCGAAAGATCAGAATTTAAACAGCTATAATAGGTTTATTATCTTATTTGAAATGCATTAAAGGCATGTGATCCTGAGAAGGGCTGTCAAGATTGATGTAGGGGTATCAATCGAGTAGTGTTGCATCATATTCGAAATTATGTCATGTGACAATCTTTGTGGATGCAGTGTACTAACTCATCCTATTCCATCTGGAATGGCAGGGACGGAACATGGAATGAAGGTGGTCACTGTGACGCTAATGTGGCGCCAGAAACGAACAACACAAAACTGGAACCTGATCCAGTCAACAATCTGTTTATTTCTGATGTAATCAAACAGATGGAAAGTGCAAAAAGAAAGATTCAGTTCTTAAACATTACATATCTTGCAGAATTTAGGAAAGATGGTCACCCTTCAAGCCACCGAGAGGTGGGCACTCCAATCCCAGCCCCACAAGACTGCAGCCATTGGTGCCTACCTGGAGTCCCAGACACATGGAATGAACTTCTTTATGCCCAACTACTGTCAAATGGATTCAGAACAAAAATTGAGGGTACCTAGCAATAAAAACTCTTCTCCGAAACAAAGGGCTGGAGTTTTCAGCAATGCTTTTACACAGACTATTCCTCAGCATTTTGGTTGGAGTTCACCCTACTGGTTTCCAATTTCCTCAACCTCCTCAAGCTACCTCAAGAGATATAACCTTTCTGGTCCATAGGGTATCTGCAACAAACACCACCTCAGTACTGCTGGTTGAGCTTTTGAAAGAACTGACACAAGAAAACTCCAGGTCAGGAAATACACATTGGAGCTGGTACATATCTCTCTCCATTACAACCACATTGCTACATGCCCACAGCAGTTACCTGTACATGGGGTATTTATTTATTTTTCATTTTTTGATCCAATGTTGTATAAATTTTGCAATAGTTAAAGGGTTCTTACTTTTTACTAGGACTAACCCAAAGTGACACCACCCGATAATGACCACGTCAAGACTCCATTGGCACCCCTACCTTGCAAGGCGTATGGTAGCACCAAGAGAAACAGAACATCAAGGGTTTCTCTAATTGTGTAAATACTTCATGCTTAAAGAAATATTTACATGAAAGCAAAGGTTCTTTTTTTACTTTTGGGTTAATCAATAAATAAACATCCATTGTGAAAGCTATTCATATAAATTACTCTTTTATCCTGAACCAGCCAAACAAAGACACTAGATCATGAAGTCAATATAACTCAGCCGTGGTTCAGACAAGGCAGGGCATTGCCATTCCTATACCATGCATATGTGGCCACATCCCCATCCTTTCTGTTCTATTTAATTGCTATCCCTCAGAAGAACCCTAAATGCTAACCAATTTATGTTTGAACTTTGAATCAAACAGACTAGTAAACAAAGATAACCAATTGGTCTTTACCTTATTTCTTCTACTATAAGGAAAACAAGGATGATAAATATATACAGCTCTGGTTTATCCAATTCATAACAATTCTGAAGTGTTTCCATAATTTACACATCAAGCAGAATCAGATTTTTTTTTTTTCAAACTCATTTACCAAACTACAGTTCTTCAATGAAAAAGGTTCTGCATAGATAAGGATCTGTAAAAATACCCCAATCCATAATGGATGAATAATCCATCACAAACACCACAGGTACAAAAATATAGTAATACGCATCACAAGTAAGACTGAAGTAATAAAAATAAGCTCAATGTTCAACAGCAAAAGTGAATTCTAGCAATAATGTTCCTCCACTCACTTCACCAAACAACATAATCAAGTGCAGGGGTGTTAAAATATGATACGGCCCGACACAAATACAAATGAAATTAGAAGATTTGTGCCTTCTTGGGAAATTTGAACAATACTGCGAATAGAGTGATTGACCCACAAACTGAAAGGTTTCAACCTGAATCTACCAGTTCAATATTCAATCATAAATTTGAAAAACAAAAACTAAATAGTTTTATGCCATCAACAACAATAGAAAGAACGGAATTTGAAAAAATAAAAAGCAAAAGAAGCAAATTTTCAATATGTAATTCTGTTATCATTGACAGAAAAACCCTAGCTTCCATGGAAACGCGGAATGCAACCAGCTATGGAAACGAAAACCCATCAGAAAAGAAAAAAGAAGAAGAAGATTACGAAGCTCACTGCTGGTGAAACTCCACTGGCATGAATGAGAGAGAAAATCTGCGGAAAATTTTCCTTCTTGGGCCTCCATGTGCAAGTGGGCTCTTCGACTAGTATGGTGGTTACGGACTATTAGAGATGGGCTCTTGCTTTCTTTATAGATAATTGAGTTTTCAAACTCAAGGTCCGCTATGGAAAAAGAGAAGGGACGGAAAAATAGGAAGGATAACTTTTTCTTTCATAAAGGAAAGGAAAGTATTTCCTATTTTTTTTATGTTTGGTAGGAAGATGGAAAAGTAGAATCGATTATTTTTTTATTTTCCTATTTGGTTTGAGCTGAAAAAATAAAAATAAAATTTTTTTACCTTTTAAATACCATAAATACCCTTGTATTAGAGTATTTTATAACATGAGTTGTGAGTTGTGTTGTAATTAATGTATATCTATCAACATTTATTATTTAACATGTGTGCCCCATCTATGGATTTGCATATTTGAAAAACATATCTAACTAATAAATTTGAAGGGTATAAATGTAAATTCTTGAACTCCACCCATCATGTGCAGCTTTGTTCCCCATTTTCGGAGGGATTAGATTTAATGAGCGAGATGAATTTAGTTTTCGTCCACTTTTCCCTTCCACTCTTATTTCCCTCCAAACCAAACTAAGGAAATTGTATTTTTCCTTCCCTATTTTTTACCCTTTATTTTTCATTCACCCATATTTCCTTCCTACCAAACAACTTGTCATCCTTGGAGCTTGATGCCCAACTTTCTAGTTCAATTACTTGTCGACGATTGACTTTAAATGTATATTTGTGACTTTTTTGTTCCGTATTTGCAATTTGAATGTGGATTTTTTTTTTCATTTGGTAAGTAGTTGGCCTCAAATTTTTTGTAATCGATTTAAGTTGGGATCCACTCTAAATTAAATTCTTAGATTCGCCCCTACTTATCCTAATCCCACATCCCTTTGGTTCATATTTTGATTTTATGGGGATATGAGGAAATTGTTTAAAATTTTTGTATACAAAATTCATACCCTAAGAGAAGGGGATTAGAGGATTCGAACCCAAAAATAAAACATGGATGGGATATTCGTAGTCCTCAAAATATCATTGGAGGGTTGTAGATCTTCTAATTGTTTTTCTTTTTATTTTTTGCGAAGTGTGAATGAAATAATCGACAAGCTCAAACATGTAAGACTAACAAATTTTTCCAAACCAAGAATATGATATTTGTAGTGATATTCCTTGGTCAAAAGTTTGATTAATTATAAGAATATTATTTGTGCATGCCACTTTTGTAAATGTCAACATAGAATTCTACATTGTACTTTGGAAAACCCTAACTTTAAATGGTTGTTCACACATTTGAACCTCATTGCCCTTTTCCCTGACAAATTGTTTGGAAAAACATATATACAACTTGTGATGTAGAACCGCTTCATGTTTTATTCTATTTTATTTTAATTGTTTTATTTTTATTTTTTATTTAGAATGAGAGTTAATTAGGAATATTCTAGAGTTATTTACTGTCTAAACCATGTCTATTTTCCTAATTTATTAGACATGTGGTTTATTATTTTAGGTAACTTTTTTAAAGTAAGGATTTGTTTCCGTTTTGAAAATCTTAGAATTTTAGGTTTTCCTAAAAATTGTCATATGTACTATGATTCTACATATGCTCTTCCTTTTCTTTGTAGATTTAGAGTGTTTTTGTTCTTTACACTTGGAGACGATGATCTCTTCGTGGCCCTTGTTATCCACCACATCAATTGGTATAAGAGTATTGACTGACTTGACCTAATTTCTAATCAATGAAGTGGTGACAGCTTTTTTAAGTGTTAAGATTTTGGGTTTTTCTATAAATTGTCATGTGTGCTACGATTCTATGTAGATAATGAATTGAATATTGCAAAATTTTGAGAGTGTTCTGTAGATTTAGAGTTTTTTTGTTCTTTATACTTGGAGATTATGATCTCTCTATGTCCCCCATTATCCGCTACGTCAACTTGTATTATGAGCAGAAACACACAAAAAAAAAGGTATACAAATGGTCCAAGACAATGATTGTAAATCTCCATATGGGAATTGTGCTAAAATCTATTCTAAAAAGATAGAGGCAATTTCAAACTTCTCAAATTAAAATCACCCCTCCCAATTTAGAAAAACAGAAGAACAACTAAAATTTGATTGGAGTTTAGATATACGGTCTAGATCTCATCGAAATCCATCTAATTAAATCTAATGACTGTCAAATTTGTCTATATGAAACTTTATTCACCTCAATACATCCTATTTTGAGTCTATGTGAAACTTCATCTTATTGAAGCTGCATTAAATCCATATTCACATAATTTATCTAGAGAGTCTTGAGTATCTTGGTAGGTATTAATTTTTTTCTAATTGTTGTTAAGAAATGATAGGTGACAAGATTTGAACCTCATATCCATTCTTTAGCGGCCCATCTATTATTTTCATCTTAAAAACGCAAAAGTTGGTTTTCACCCTTTGAGAAAAGGTTCTCTTATATTTCTAATCTCGTTTTGTTTCTCAGCTCTACAGCACGATTTATTAAACTACATTGTTTCTTCCAAGAAATAAAAATATTATACTGTGATCTACCATCTTATTTTTTTTGGTCGTCTGTCTATTTTGTGATTCTTAATTGATTGATTTGACACAAAATACAACAAAATTTTAAACATATGTTTAAGGAAGGTTTAATTAAGATTAAAATTCAATTAAATGAGGGACATTGTTTGGATATAAAATACAAAATTATGAAAGTATTCGATGCATGTGTTATTGACAAGTTTAAAATCATTAAAATATTGTCACGTGTCAAAATTTGAAGAAAAGGTTGGAAGTGACCAGCCACAGCTCTGGTTTGAAGAGGAAATAATTGTTTCAGAGTTACAAAACGAATTAACCGTCGATAAAAGAGAAACTATCAAAAGAAATAACTATAATGAGAAGAAAAGGAGGAGTTAGAGAAACAACTCAAACACCACTCCCCCCCCCCCCCCAACAAGACCTACAATCAAGGCATTTAGAAGTAATGTTAGAATTAATTTTTAGGAAGTAGTTAGTATTGTAATCAAAGTCTGCCAAATCAATTATTCTGTAACATAAACCCATTTTATTGAATTAATAAAAGAATTTTCTTTTATTGATTCATTGTTCTGTGTATTTATCGCTTTAAGAATTCATCTAATGAAGTCATAAAATAAGGCATTAGAACCTATCCACAAGCAATCGCCTAATAATTGTTTGTCAATTAATGCATTTCTGTTGATTACAATAGATTTTGAAGCAACACATGCATAATAATATCTAATTTAGAATGATCAACTTGAGTTTCAAAGTTATTATGTAACTCAACTCAAAGAAAATTAAAAAAATTAAAATTATTTAGTGTCCGCCCATTGTGCTCTATTCATGGCCGTACGTATTGACTATCTCGTTCGAAGTCAATAGATATATTGTTACTTGCATCGTTTTCTTGTACTAATCAAATGATGCCTACGTTGCATATATGCTGAAATCAATTCTATCAAATTCTAGCATACACCAAAATTTTATCGTCTTTATTAGAAACTATTTCTCTTCAAACCTTTTTATTTTTTTTTTCAACTGTCAAGAATGTTCGGCCCAGTTTATACTCACTTCGTCTAATCTCTTTTCTGAATCGATCAAAAATAAATCATCTACAACAAAATTAAGATATTCATAAAAAATAAGACTTACACTCCCCGAGATACTATAATAAAAACTTGCATCAAATAGAGGTCATTGTCCAAATTGCATTTTTAAAATAAAAAAATAATAAATAAATAAGTGAATAAGATAGGTGAATGGGTCCAAAAAAACGTTTCCCATCTCTCATCCACAACCTTTCGTAGCATTAAGGTTGCAATTTTCATGTGCCGTGCTATAGCAATGACTAGGACATCTATAACTTGTCACAGATACCTACTTTTTCCATCTAACTAGAACTTAGTAAAAGTAAATAATTGGACGGTATTGACCTATCATCATTATTACGTAATATCACAAATTATTTAGAAATCAATGTCTATGTCTAATGAACTCGGCCGCTTAGTCAAATTTGGTTGGTATTAGATATTATTGGACATGGTGATTATTGAACTAAGTAGAGTCCACTTTGTTTGTGCGTTGTATTCTACTTAATTGATAATACCATATTGTATTACTAGTTATTACTTGTGTCTGAAGACACAAAGTAATAAAAAATAATAAACAATAAATATATTATATTATTGTTACATTGAATATTTTTCTCATTCATTCACTAACCACCGGACCCGTGCTAGTGTTGAATTTTTCACAATTCCCCCTCGACTAATTAAATTAATTTCACACATTGCATCAAAGCCAAATGTCTAGTATCTTTTAGATGATAGTTGTCAACTGTCGAGGGTAAAGTGAAACAAACCACATAATTTGGGGACAAAATAAAAATTTATTAAACTTGTATTAGGCATTAATCATTGGAGCCAAGTAGAATTGATATAACATAATTGAACGTATAATGTGAGAAATATTATAGTTGTGGGCCATTGTAAAAAAAGGGTTATAATTGAGGAAGTCAAAGCTAAATCACATAAAATAGGAGCGGAGATGGAAGCGAGATCGAGAACACGAACATCTTGAAAACGTCATATTATATGCATTCAAAAGAGTATTCATCCATAAAAATTAAATATTTTTTATAACTATGTGACAAATTATTTAATTTTTAAATATATACATTGATTATAAGGTATTAAAATAGCAATTATAGGTTATAAATATCATTCTAATTTGATATGTATTTTTATGAATGAGTCAATAATTTCCAAATAAAAATTTAAGTAATAATGAGTAAGCAAATATGAAAGTAAGAGTGCAAAATCATGGATTTTGTAAAGTCAGAGCACAAATTCAGAAAAAATTCGCTCTTAAATCGCGTATTTGCACACAGAGCTCCGAAGTGTCGATTGTTTTGAAAGATTATGTGACTAAGGGTCAAAGTGTAATTTTTCGTACCACAAAAAAGGGAAAAAAAAAAAAAAGGGAATAGTTCAATGCACAAATTACTCTTTACTGCAAAGTTTAAAGAAGGCCAGATTTATGTAAAATTATTCTACAAAAAAAAACAAACTACTCTTAATTGAACAAAAGTGAAAAAAAATGTAATCTTTGAGGTTTAATAGAACAAACACTAACACCATCTTAGGAACAAATGAGCAAAACTTTTAGCTCCAAAGACAAACGAACTTACTGGTCAGGTATTTTTGGGCAATTATCCATTCTATATTTCTATTAACCCATTCTATTACTCAATAGGGCAATTATCCATTCAATTATCCCATTCTATTACTCAATAGGGCAATTATCCATAACTCAAATGCAAGACATTTAAGTCACTATAACACAATCTAAAAAAATAATCAAAGTTAACCACAATATTGAATAACATCAAACATTGAAAATCAATCAACGATAATCTTGTAAACATTGGTAAAAAATAAAAAAACCTCCTGAACTACGTCTCAGTCTTACTTCACCCCTTATATTTTTGTAGGTTGCACTTAACCTATTTTTACTTATGAACAAACTACAAGTGTTAATAAATGTAACAGTTTATACAAAAAGACTAACCTACCCTAATTATAATTCAATTTTCTTTGTGATACTATCATTGTGGAATTCTTATCTTTAAAAAAAAAACAAAACTTGAAACTACCACACTTCTACCACCATAGTTGGACCCCATCACCACAACTCACCTCCAACTTCGTTACCATTATACCCCACAAATTTCTTTGCAAGTTATGCTCGAATTTGTGTTTGAAACTTAAACTGGTTATAGATTTTCAAATTAATTATATAGCAAACGACATTTTTTTCCTCAATTAAGGTTGGAGTTGTTTTATAGGGTTGTAGTACAGCGTATGAAGTGCTCGGAAGTCATAACCGAGGTGTGTGTGTGTGTGTGTGGTGAAGAAACCACTAAGGTTTGAAAACTTAAAAATCAAAACTTTCAAAACTTGTTAAAGATTCAAAAGTGAGGTTGAGTTTAGCTAATTTGGGTCCAAGAGTTCAAAAATGACCTTAAATTTAAGAAAGTAAATCATTTCTTGGGTTAGAAATGAATTTGCAAGTCTGATCAACTCTTTAAAAACGTTTTTTGGGCCTACTTTGATCATAGATTTGAAGAGTTTGAAATTGATTCGAAGGATGAGGTTTATGGAGTTCAAAATTAAGATGAACTACTAGTTCATGGATTGTGGAGGAGGAAGAAGGAAAAAGGAGGAGGGTGGTAGTTGTAGCAGGGGTGAGTTAGGCGAGAGACAGGAAGGTGAAAGGTAAAATCGATAATTTAATTTTTTAATTTTAAAAAAAATATTTATTTTATAACATGCACTTAATTAGCGCGTGCATTTACCACGTCATTATAATAAATAAATTCTGTTAAATTTATAGTTTAATCTACAATTTGATCACGAATCAAAGAAAATTAAGTATGATCCATAAAAATATAAGGAGTGAAATGAGATGGATGTGTAGTTCGGGTGAATTTTTAATTTTTTACACTTCAAAGTTTGCAATGATAACCTATGGATGAGGATCAAGAACTCTATGGTTCAAAGGAGGTGATAGCTACCAGCTTGAAAACTGTCTCTTATTACAATATTATTAATTATGAATATATTTAAATTATTTAAGTTTGTTGCCCCAAACTTATTCAAAAATTAAAAAAACACCCCTTCTGCTAAATTCTTTACACCCATTCTTTGGTTGAATACCTACCAAACAGTCATACAAATACCATTATCAAAAAAAGAAAAAAATCTTTTGGACAGAATCAACAGTCAACCATCTAGAATTAGTACGACATTGAATATTCCATTCAATAAGAGCCAATTTAAAATCCCCGACACGCATACCGTATAATGCTAATCATACAAATTAAAAACGGGATGAGTATAAATAATAAAGTACCCCGGTGACAAGAAAATTGAACTATAAAATAATTAATTATTCAGCAACAAACAAAAATAAATTCAAAAAACATGATATTCAATCATGGAGTATTATTATATTTTTATATTAAGAGCGTAACTATAACGTTTGAGTTGAAAAAGACGGTGATTGAAGTAAAGAGGTGGGCCCGGTTTTGGTAATTGAAAATTATAAAGCTTATGAAGTGCGTAGCTGCACTTCCATTTAGCTGGGACCGTGGACCACCGTTGAAAGCTTTGATGAAATTGGTGAACTAGTACCAATTTTTTTTTATTTTACTAAAATGCCCCTGGTGCTGCAGATGAGAAGTGTGACTTAGCTGACCGAGTTGGTAGTTAGACGTTCATGTCACATAATCTTTCTCTAACTAAGAATTTTATTATTAATTGAATTGAGACAGTTTAAATTTGAATCGAGAATAAATTCGATCATCTTAATTTGAATATTTATCTATGTCTAGTTTTTGAAATCGAGTTTGATTATGAAGATAGACAATTCAATTGAAAAGTGAAATGAAAGTTTTTTACTTCCAAAATCACTGAGGAATAAAAATTATATTTTAAGTACTAAATATTTCGGGTTGACCCGGTTCATCTGTCCAGATTAGCCCCCCTTGTCAAGTGAAGACATTATTACTGTTTTCTTGGCAGCCATCATCCTCTGCTGGTCAACTTCTGACAAGTAATTAACCACAAAATCCAAGGGCATTTAAGTAACCAATCATTCACACCTTCAAGTCCATACACCTATAAAAACTTCAACTAGCTACTTTTCAAACTTGCCTCTCAAGCTCACTCAACGGTCTCTCAACGCACCAAGTCTCCCTCAATCAACTGGTGAAACCTGAAAACAGAAACGCTACCAAAATGTCCTCCTCCCCGAAAGCAGAACCACCCACCACAACCTCCATCATCCGAGGCGCAACCACCGAGTTCTCCACCGTGCACCCAGATATCATCGAGGCCCACATCCTCACCCGCCTCAACGGCCCCGCTCTCGCCTCCCTCAGCTGCGTCTCCTCCACACTCCACTCTCTCTCCACCCAAGACCACCTTTGGTTCCACATCTGCCACTGCAATTGGCCCTCCACCGTGACACCACGTGTTCGCCACGTCATCTCCACGTACCCAGAAGGAGGCCCACGCTCTTTTTTCTCCCATTCATACCCTCTCCCAATCATGCATCCAACCTCCACATCATCAAATTCGAATTCGGCCCCACCTTCAGAATTAATCTCAGCCGTTGATATTCACTACCAAAACGAACTCATTTTTACCAAGGTCCACGAGACTGAAACCGTGACAGGGTGGTTCCGATGCTCACCTTTCAGAATTGACATGTTGGAACCCAAAGATGTAGTTTCGACACCAATAGAACACCCAAATGGTGATGACACGTGTACGGCTCTAATGGACGACATGACGCTGAGCTGGATTTTAATCGACCCAATCGGACGGCGAGCAGTGAACTTATCTTCTAACAAGCCCGTTTCGGTACAGAGACATTGGTTGAGTGGTGAAGTCCAGGTGCGGTTCGCTTCAATTTTAGCCAGTAATAATCAAAAAGGGTCCGTCTCGGGATTCGTGCAATGCGAGATCGTGGTCACGTGCAGTGGGTCCGAGGGAGGGGAGATGCAAGTGAGCGAGGTGAGCTTGGAGGTGGAGGACATGGATGGGAAACATTTGAATGGGAAGGATAGTTTGGTCATTTTGCAACGCGCATTGGAGGGCAAAAAAGGTAAAGGAAAGAATCGGGAGGAAGAAGGGAGGAAGAGCCAAAGGAAGTTTTTGAAAATGAAAAAAGAGAGAAAAGAAAAGAAGTTGAGGAGAGAGGGCACATTGGACATCTTGTGTGTGGTTTTTGGAGTAACCGTTTTTGCAACGTTTTGTTTCTTTATATTCGGCAATTAAAGAGGTCGTTGTATATAGGTGGTACCGTAAACTTAGACAACTTTAAATGTGTGATATTTAGTTGAATATATTTTAATGATTTACAGAGTAAGACATGATTAGAGAAAAAAAACATACTATAATTAGTCAACTGTTGTACAAGTAAGAAGGCAGATTGTATACCCAATGCTATCAAGTGTATAAAGAGACTTTTTGGTGTTATTTCTTTAATTTATGCTCTCTTTTTTTTGTTATAAAATGTTTAAATTTATGTCCATTATTCTCTCGAACTCAACTAATTTTATTATTTCCGTGATTTTTATAAATTCAAATAATATGAACCAAAAGTAACGATAAAAAACTTCAATGAAATATCGAGATGTTACTTTTAGACATTTTTAAAAGTTATTATTATGACATAGGACATCAAAAGAATCTTTTTCATGGGAGGTTCAAAGACCTAAAAAGGGTGGCATTGATGAACGGAGGGCGGCATGGACAATCTCTTTCTTGTCCATTTTATAGGTTTATTCTTTTTCTGTCTGGAGATTTATACTTGTTCTTTGACACCTTATTTTGCACTAATTTCAGAGGCACCCAAACCCTTTTTAAAAAAAATAAAATTCAAAGGATAAAAGTCAGATGGGGGTGATTGTAGCATTTTTTAACTTTTATTTTTTTTGAATTATTTTGAGACAGATGTTGGTGGCCGTTGGATTAATTTATTTGAAACTGTCAGACAAATTTATTAAAATTTGTCATGTTTTATATCATAAATCAAGGGTAACTCATGCCTAAAAATACGGTATAATGTGAATAATTTTGAAAGAAATGTTTTGTGACCATTGAATGAGTTTATTCGAGATCGTTAGAAGAACTTATTAAAGTCTGTTGTGTTTTATATTATAAATTTTTTATGAAAAAGTAGTTAGATGATCCGACCTACTCTTACATGGGATCAGGGTATGGTCACTCATTAATTACCAGTAGCTATTACAAACTTACAATCATTAAATTTTAAGCAATGTTATTGAGATCTAATTTATTGATCTAATTTGTTGACCTAATTCACTATGACCTTTGGATTGTCTGTGAGCTCCATTAAATATTAGAATTTAGAGCATCTCCAACAATGCTATCTAAAATAGTTAATCAAAATATATTTAAATATTATATTATCTACTTAGCTAACCACTTTTTTAAATTCAATCTAACAACGTTATTTATTTTAGCTAATCATTTCAACTAACTTTAACTAACTTTCAATAATAAAATTTAAAAAATAGTAATTCAACTATACATTATACAAATTTAATCAATTATGGGCTACAAGAGTAAATATCAGAGGGGTTTTGCTGGAATTTTTTTTTGGGTTTTACTGGATTTTTGGGGGATTTTACTGAATTTTTGGGGAGTTTTACTTAATTTTTAGAGGAATTTTATTGAATTTTTTAGGAGTTTTGCTGTATTTTTTGGGAGATTTTATTATTTTTTTAGGAAATTTTGCTGTATTTTTTGGGGGGTTTTGCTAGAAATTTGACGATGAAATCTCTCAGATCAAACCCACAAATTTGACAATTAAATCTCTAAGATGAAACAATGAAGCCTCTTAGATCAAAACCCTCTCAGATCATATTTAGCTCAAAACCCTCATATCAAAAGCCTCTCAGATCAAAACCCTCTCACTCGGTGGAGCTTTGCCTTCAGTCGATGGAGCAAGCCTTTTTGCGATGGGGGTGTTATTGGCACACAAACAAAATAGCTAATTGCTTTGCCTCGCCAGGGATAATCAGTCAAATGAAAGCTATGAGAAATAATTAATGTGATGGATAGTTTATTGGAGACAAGATTTAAGGTATGCCTATGTAAATTAACTAAGAAAAACTGATTTATTGAGGTTTTTGGAGTCGCTCTTAGTGTTGATGGTAAAGTTACAATTGCTTTACTGTCCATGTTTTATCAATTTTTTACATCAAGTATTTAATGCATGTAGCTTTTTAATTAATTAACCGTGGGAAAAATTATCGTATCACCATTAATATCGTATTGAAAATTATTCTTTTAAGCTAAAGTATAATTTTTTAATGTGTAATTTATAATTTGTAAAAGAAATAATCAATTCTAAAATGTTGTAATCGATTATTTATTAAAATTATAAAGATTAAATTGTAGCTCATAAAATAAAAAATAACTTTTGAGGAATTTCATGACCATTTCCTCAAGCAATTATAACTTTACCTTTAAAAATTATATTTTGACCATTAAAAATAATAATTTTTTGTGCAATACCAATTTTTTTTTCAATACCATTGAATAACATCTTATGATCAAGTAGGCGCTATGGCATTTCTGCTTTTAAGTAGAAATATTGTAGTTGTCTTCGACTCAAAAAAAAATAAAAAAAAAATCAAGTTACTTTCGGCATAATCTTTTACATGAGTAGATATGGGTGTTAATCGAGCCAAGTCTTTCAAGTTTAGCTATGTTCAAATTCGGCTTGTGTTATTTAAGGATTGCTCAAGCTCGGCTCGGGCTCGCCTATAGAACTCAAAATATTGTTCATGTTCGAATCAAACCAAATTCGAGCTGAGCTCGAGTAAAAAACGAGTCATTCAAAAGAAAATTCAAATTCACAAATTTTAAATACCCAATCAAAAAATTTCTTAAAAATACACACAAATCTAAAATTTAACACAAATTTGAGCATAAAATATCTCTAAATCACAGCAAAAACATACAAACTTAATATATACAAGTTTGTCTATACACTGATAACTAGTAGCAAAGATCAATATATCCTAGATGAGGATTTTTCTAGGGTTTGGATGAGGGAAAGTCGTAGTGGTGGGCTGGTGGTGATGATGATAAGTCTAGCATAACAAACTTGTGCTGGATAGACAAAAACATGACGTGCTATTTTTTTTTCCTTATTTTACTTATATCCTGGATTAGGATTTTTCTAGGGATTGGATGAGCGAAAGTCGTGGTGGTGGGCTGGTAGTGGGCAAGGGGAGATGATGATAAGTCTAGCATAACAAACTTGTGATGGATAGACAAAAACATGACGTGCTACTTTTTTTCCTTATATCCTCCTAGATGAGGATTTTTTTGGGGTTTGGATGAGGGAAAGTCGTGGCGGTGGGCTTGAGGTGGGCAAGGGGAGATGATGACAAGTCTAGCATAACAAACTTGTGAGGGATAGACAAAAACATGACATGCTAGTTTTTTTTTCCTTATATAACCTTTATATTTATAATAATCTATACGTATATTATGTACAAGTAAGAAAGACGAGTCAGCTCACAAAATAGATTGGGCTCGACTTAGTTCAACCCGGCTCAAATACTAAACGAGCCTATAAATATGTTAAGATTCGACCCACGTTATAATATGAGCAAACCTAAGCCGAGCTAAAACCAAGCAGAGCCCGAACTACTTGCAAGTCACCCAGATTGTTTAACAACCTTATGATGCAGGTCTTTTGACATTATTGTTGCAATCTAATAAGGAAAAAATGAAGGGAAAAAAAAAACAAAATTTAGCATAAGACTGATCTTGCAAAAAAAAAAAACCTTAAGTAGATCAACCTAATTCAAAACAAAACAAAAAAACAATTATATATGCAAGGGAATAACATAGAAAGCACATATATTTCTTACATGATACTTGATAGAACACATGAAAAAATATAATGCAGGTAGCCGACACCAAATAGTTGGAATAAATGCTTTTTTGAGTTGAGGACATATGTTTCTCATACTTGCAGGCCCGAAAAATATGACACCTTCTATTTGTTCTTCTCAGTCTCTCTACTATTCTGCACCTTTCAAGCAGTTTCAGAGCCCCAGTGATAAAAATTAGTGATGTAGTACATATAGAAAATAGCAAAGTCGGGCACCAAACTCAAACCCAAGTCATTCCGATGATATAATGAATCAAATTCCAAGCATCATACCAAGCAAAAATTCCAAGTTTAGCTAATTGCAGCTATTCCAAGCATCATATAACCTTCACAAAGACGGATGCGGTTGCGTGGTAACTAAAAGCATAGCCAACTATGGCTGCAATCTCCATCCACGCTCAGCAAGTGCTTCAATCACTTGGCTAGCTGCCTCTGCAGTGTCATTCAGTGGAGGATAAGTCCAGCTTTCAGATAGCTGGACAATCATGCAACAGATTAATTAGTGGAGAGATAAAGTTAGTTCACCAAACATGAGATTATGTACTGCCATAGTCTTTACCCTGCATACATCTTTGTTCTTCCAACAGAAATACTAGAACATCCACCAGAAGCCAATTATAGTAATATGTTTTATCAGCAAAACTCAGTTTGAATGCACCTTTGTCCATAGATATATTACATATTAGGGTAAATTTCATCCACACCCCCTGTAGTTAGGTCTAAATTAAATGACACTCCTTACTAATTTTGAAATTTCACTACACACCTTCAAGTTTGTACTGTAGAATCATTGGCACCCTCTACCGGTAACTTCAGTCTCTGACAATCGAAAAAGTGAATGATTTGACTAAATATTCTTTCAAAATACCAAACTTACCCTTTGTTATATTAATAGACTAAAATAGCTTGGATGGGAACCTTATAAACTTGAATTTTTTGTTTTTTTGCTGAGTGGACTTATATATTTATATCTATTGAAATCATTTTTGACACAAAATAAAATGAGTCAACATAATAAGGTCAAAAATGCATAAAATAAAAAAAAATTAATTAACATTTTACCAAAAAAACAAGTTTAATTATAGTCATTTTCAATTGATCTCAATGAATTTTTATCATTTTAAAGCATTGTATGATAATTTCGTATAAATACTATCGAGAATATATATATATATATATATATATATATATATATATATATATATATATAGTATAATATTAGTCATCATATTATCACTCAGTTGGTTATATAATCCAGTTTTTATAATTTCTAGGGTTAATTGTACTTGAGGTCCCCAAAGTATGAGATTTATCTCATTTTGGTCTCTAATGTTTCCATTGCATCATTTTTGTCTCTGAAATATCAAATATGTTTCAAAATGGTCCTTCAATCACACAATGCCAGATTGCTAATGATTTTTTATTATAAATTTGTCACGTAATACCTAATATAGACAAAAAATATTTTGATAGCTCTTAAACAAAATTTTGGGTAGTTTTTGACAAAAAAATATGTAATATAGGTAACTTTTGACTAAAATTTGGATAACTCATGATCAAAAATATATAATTTAGGTAGCTATTTAATCAAAATTTGAGTAAAAATTTTGTCAAAAGTTATCCAAATTATTTTTATGTCCATATTTAAATATCACGTGACAAATTTATGATAAAAAATTGTAACCTAATGAATATACCATGTACCTTTTGGTGTAATTTTTTTTTCCGAGTAAGAACACCAATCCGATTGTATCCAAAGTGGGTCTAAAAGTTAATAGTTAATTATTTAGATTATATTTTAATGGACATCACAAGGAAAAAAAATAGGGTGGCCTAGTTAAATGTTTCATAAATATTTAAAAGATATTTAGGTAATATCAAGATTTTTTTTTTTTAAGTGTGGGTATGTGCCAACCCCTAAGCCAATGTTGGCTCCACCGCTGAATCACGATGAGGATGGCAGTTGTAACTTGTAATTATTATTTAGTCTTGCAAATTTTGGTTAGAATGAAGTAATAGCAGATTACTTCAATGAAAATATGATGTTTTGTTCTATGAATGGTATTTAGATGTTTTAATATATATTCTTCCCCCCCCCCCCCTCCCCCACCCTTTTTTCCCTTTTCTTTGCGCAAAGAAAGAACGACCGAATGACGGTGGGAAGTCCGGTGGTTTACATAGACGTGTTTGGTAAGGTTTAGATTTATTAAATAGGTGAGGTTAACTAAACGAAATTATAGTTAATAGTCTAGTTTAATTAGGTATACATACAGAGTACAGAAGTTTAGTACTTATAAAATACGGAGGAATACTTCTATAAAACAATGCTCGCCGTTAACCCCGTATGAAGACAACAACTGACCGGTAAGTAAAATTTTGGAATCGAGATGAAGTATCATTGAATTTAAACCTAACTACAAGGAGTGTGGATGAAATTTATCTTACATACTATTTCCTTTATGAAAGTTAGAATTCAAAAAGAGTGCAAGATTTCTAGAAACTACATGGCATACAATATTTTAATGAGATCATAAGTTCATAACATAGATTTGAGCTGGAAACACGAGTGCACTGTGCGCCACAAGATAACAAGTGAAGTAAGCTAAGATCAATAAGGAGGAAGTAGCTTTGGGAGGAAAGAAATGGTGCCAAAAGGTAGAGATGGAAAGTATGGGGTTGGGGTGGGATGAAGGAAGGATGAAATAAGGCTTAAGACATCTGAACAATATCCCATACCATCCACAGGTGTAAGATGTACCCAACTCTTACGCTGAAGTCAAAGCAAAACAAACACAGGTTTTGGGACAGAGAGTTTAGATGGGCCTTTTTTCCTCTTTCTTGAGTTTAGAAACAAGCAGCATGGTATCACATATTGGCGAAAACATTCTTTTGGGAATTTTTCATCAATAACTAGCGACAATGACAACAATGAGGCACTCACATTTTCGTTACCAGTGAAAGGTCGAACCACTCCGCGTTCCTGCAGAGATTTATGGAAGTCTGAAAACTTCCATGTACAGCGCTCAGCTCCAATAACATACACAGGCTTCCTGCACCATGAATAGTGAAAGACTTTGATGTCAACACAAAGAAAGAAAACCAAAAAGGAACATCAAACTGACTACTTTTAAGAGCTTGACAATCATCAGCTGATCAACATACGGCAAACATACCCAGTGCTGCAAGCCTCACTCAACATACTAACTGAATCAGCTGTGATGACAAAAACGTCAGCCCAAGCCAGATGTCCCATGTGCGGATTTGGATCTAAATCATCAAATTTGTAGATATAAATGTCCGGATTCCTAAAGATAAAGTAGAATATAACCAAACTGATGACAGAAACAGAGGGTACCTTTGCCATTCCAGATGTAAACCTTAGGATGTTTGCTAAATTTTGTCATTAATATGTCAGATACCTGTTAATTACAGAATGGCAAAAGATGACTATGACTACCCATCATAGTAAAGCAAAATTGCCTTTCTTTAATGAAATTTCTTGTTTCCTATTCAAAAAAAGCATAATAAAGCATAAAAACATATTGCTAGAAGAATGCACACCTTCCTCGGAGTTCTCCGAGAGAAAGATATTCTGATGCTCCCACAACTTGAAAGAACATCCTGCAGGGAGGTTGTTAACTGCTTTGCAAGGTCTGCACCATATCTACAATGGCCTACAATAAACAATATATGAACATATGCAAATAATGGATACTTTCTTATGACCAAGAATTCGTGGTAAAAGAGCAGCGTAGGAAAAACAGGCATTCAGTTTGTTACATTTTTCAAACAATGAGTCAATTCTTTTGCATATACCATCACATTTACATAAGAAAAAAATTAGATGTGACACAAGAAATGCACAAATTACTTGTAGGCCCTCCTATGTTGACCACAAGCAACGGTTTTGGAAGTGGTGCCAACTCATCATGCCAGGTAGAAGCAGCATTATTTAGTGCAATAGAATCAACCTTGTGAAGAGCTCCCACAGTGAGGACCTGTGATTTGAATTTCAACCTAGTAAGCTTTGTACCATATTGCAAATTGCAACATATATTCAGTAATCAGTAAAAGCAGCTAAAACCTTAGCCGCGAGAAGTTTTTCTCATGAAGTGAACCATTGCAGCAAGAATTTTCAAGGGAAAAAACTTAACACGTCTATCAGAAAACTATCAAGTTTTTCATGGAATAAACCAAGAAATTTCAAGGGAGAAACTTACAACATGTCTGTCAGGAGGCTCACGAGGAGTTATCCATCTACGGAGGAACCAAGGAATCTGCTCTTGTGCTTGAGGAGTCAATGGGTAATAATCATGGCGTGGAGTTATAACCAGATCAAACCTATTCAAATGTGATCGGGGATGTTGTATCTGAAAACAAATAGTGAAAGAAATCTTCAATTTAACAGATTTAGTAGTGTGCCAAACAAAGTAAATAATCATGACTACAGGAAAATTGTTAATGGACAAAAATAGTATGTAAAAAACAATAGAGACAAAATTAAGTTTGCTCCCAAAAGCAAACACAAACCAAAGAATATGAGTCATGATAATTGATATGAACACATGAATTGCTTTAATAAGCTTAAGCTAGCAACTCCATGAGAATGATGTTGCTTCAAGTACTTGTGAGAAAATCAAAAAGCAGAAATCTACAGAATTGAAATTTTGGTCATGTTCAATCATATCCTCAAAAAATCACCATTTTATAAGTAAAACATAAAAAGGTAACATGAATCATGCCAACTATACGAATTCTTACATACACTTATGTATATACCAGTCAAGGATTGTATATCAGTAGATGGAAGACAGTCCCTCTCAAACCTGAACAAGAAAAACATTTTCTGGAGCTAACCATTTAATGGAACTTGCAACCGAAATAGTGTCTCGGCCAGATGCAACCACCAATAATGGGCCATCCCTTGAATTTCAAAAAGGAAAAAAAATAGCTATGAGAGATGATACTTTTCAAAGGAATCAAGAAGAGAGGTATATATCATGCCAATAACCAATAAGCTCTAAACTTTATTATACTAACAAAAAGACACTAATCAACAGAAGAGAACCTAAGAAGACATGCATTTAAGTTTAGATTCTATGCAATTATTACATTAGAGGTAACTCACCAGTATATTCAATTAGCATACAATTATCCTCCACAAACATCTTCATTATAGGCTATCTATGCTATCCATAGGCAGGATCATTTTCATATTGGCATATTCAAAATATATTTCAAAAGCAAATTAAAATGAAGAAGATTAAACTGTACCTTTCAAACGTTTGACAAGCCATTGTTGCAATTTTCTTTGCATCAGCTTCTATTATATCTGGTAGAACAGCTGTAACACCATTCAGACCAGGAAGGGCATCAGTTTCTCCTCCTAGGCTTTTTATTAGTATTTTAAAAAATAAAATAAGAAACCAAATGGAAGTCAATTTTAAGAGCAAATGCACCATCTTCAGGAGTTAATATTAATAACAGCTGCAATACGACATTATCAATGACATGTGATATGACTATCTAATAATAAACCTCCACAGGTTACAAATCCGCCCACATAATCTATTTATTACAATATCCAACATAATCCAATAACTATCACATGTTGTGGTATATTAGTGGATGATTGATACCACATGTCGTTAATGATAAAGTATCACAATTAGAGTGAATATTACTCCATCTCAAAAGGATGGCCTGTATTATCAATTTATAGCAATATTGTTGGTAAATAATCTCAGATAGAATTGGATAAGCATGTGCCACCTTTAATTTCAGCAGGAAGAGGCAACAACTTTTTTCTATTGATAGTAATTTGGAGTTGTGAATCTCCACAAATTCGCTTTATGACAAGGCCTAAGTTTTGGTGGAGAGAAACTGGCAGCCAACTAAAACACTCGTTGATTCCTCCTCTTGGTCTAGTAACACGCTGTATAAGTAACAATGAATAACTGAATAAGCTATCACACCTCTTGGTCTAGTAACACGCTGTATAAGTAACAATGAATAACTGAATAAGCTATCACATGCAAAATGTCAAAACATGTGGTAACAATGGCAAAATAAATTCAGATAATTCATGGATATATGTGATTATAAGGATTTATGTACACTTTCTTTAAACTTTTGAAAAAGGCACTTCCAATTTCCAACCCTGAAGAAGCTATCAATTTCAAGTATCAGACAGCTACCTCTTTTAATAATATGTTTGGTAATCATCCACAAAAACAATTGCCAAAACAAGCACCAACGCATGATATCACCAAAATCTCAAGATGATAGCGATCTCTAATGTATCAGATGCCTCTAAGATGGCAAAGCTATGATGTGGATGACTCTGGTAATGCCCGTAACTGCCCAGAACATCCTCATGGCTAAAGTTCAAAAGTAAAATTTTAGGACTTAAAAGACAGACTCATAACAATGGAGATTATCTAGCAAGTAAAATGGCCAGCAGATATGATTTCACCTCTTAAAATAATGATATCGTATATTGATGAGTAACTTTCCACTCGCTCCTACATTTCAACTCTGGATTAGATATAGACTAGCACAAGACAAGTCCGGCAAGAATCAATATTAACAACAGCCATATATCGTAATCAGAAAATATCATGGATTTGCTCCATTGCTACTTGCATTGGACTTTCAGGTCCAGTTAACCAACAAATTGGTGGTCACCCACATTCCAACTGTGTTTCACAACCATATGGTTGAGATACAAATTCGTAGCAACAATGTAAAAGATTTGTATAACCCGAGGGTGAATTTATGCTAATTTTCCCACTTGAGGAACCTCCATAATTACTACTTCTGGCCTTTTAGAAAGACAGACAATGTCTCATAAGTGATAAACAAGGTTTCCTCTGATCAGGTAAGACCAACAGAAAGAGAAAAGATTACACAGTCAGTTTAGTTCAACCAAAAACAGCGTTAGTTAATTCAGCAATACATGAAATTCTCAGCATACAATTAATGGATCAGATATATGCGTTTGCTTGCCCATATTCACAAATTAAATTTCACTTCTTCGGATACAAAACCAACATGAAGTACAGAATTCAGATTTCATTTTCCTTTACTTTGCCTCGTTTTTTCTAGGAAACCAAACAGCCCGTGAATACAAGCATTAGAGAAGAAGCTTACATATAGAGTTTGTCGATGAGAGAGACCCAGAGCACGAACCAAACCGATGCACTGATTCTCTGCACCTGCCATACCGTTTCCAATTACAATCGCTCGCCTGATTGGTCGCATTAGATGATCCCCACCACACTATCAATGGTTGTTTGTGGCAGTGAAGTTCTGAGCTGAGTTGTCGAGAGAGAGAGGTTTTGGGGGGGTTTGCAGAGAGTTTAGAAGTGAAATGATGACATTTATTTGGGTCATCATGATGGGCAGAGCTTGGACCTTAATGGGCACCCCGTTAACCCGATTACCCATGAACCTGTTTCGAATAAAGAAGGTTTGAAACATTCATAGTAGCAAAATATCGGTTTGAATGCTGACCCGACCCATTTTCAGGCTTGTCTCCGCTCCCTAAATTCATAACGTTTTGGAGCGGTAGAGGTTTCGATGTAATCTCTCACTCTCTCTCTCACACACACACGGTGGACCTGCGGCCAAGTGCAGAAGGAGGCCACCGGAGGCAACTCTGTAGACCTATAAGGTTGTTTGGATGGATTTTGAGGATGAGTTTTGATTAGCTTCTTCAAATTCTTTCAAACTCAAATATCTCTTTGTAAAGATGGTATTCAATGTTTAATTTAGTTTGTATACAGATTTGATATGTAACACATACACACACATACACACGTAAAAATTATGAATATTTGTCTTATAAATGACTATTTTACCCTTGATTAATTCAATTTATACTTATGTTATGAGATACAATTGTTTTTTGGTTCTTTAACTTCTTATTCATCTTCCCAAACCTATTCTCGTCCTAAGTTTAACGAAACTCATGATCATGGATTTAATTTTCGAACCAGCTATAGGCTAAGTTTAGAAACTCGAGACTACATTTTTCATATAAATATGAGATTTAAAGAACTTTAAACTATTTTTTTCAAACTCATCTTACCAACTGCCCCCATACTCTTTTACCAAATAACCCCTCACCGTTGAAGAACTTTTTACTTGTAAATAATATTACTATTCTTCGTTTACCTTGCCTCACTCGGGTTTTTCGAGTTTTACTCCAAGAAAAATAAAAGAGTCCGAAAACCAAGGCGACAACAAGAAAAGGTAATGGATAGGAAAACCACAAGAAAGTGATGGTTTCGGGTTGTCTTGTTGAACAGTGGATAAGTCAAGTTACAACCCAAATGGGTGTTTGACAAATTGATTGGGCATGACCCGCATGTATAATTAGGGATTACACCAGAAAGATTATTGTGAGAGAGATTCAAGGATTCTAGACCCGACAAAAACAATACAAGTTCAACAGGTATGCTTCCACTTAAATTACTCTCCCTCATTCCCAAGTATTGCAATCTGTAACATTTGTTCAGTTCTTTTGGGATAGGTCTATCAAGGAAACTGAGGAAGTCAAACAAGTGTCAACTCAAGCCTAGCTGTCACCATTAACATCACCAGATTTTATGCCCAGATTTTATGCCTACCATGATTTTAGGATCAGCTGTTTATTGTTGTAAATATTGCTGTCAATTATGATTGTAAATTTCCTTTTCAAGTTACATACATTAGGCCTCTCTGGTTGTATAAAAAGATATAGAACATGAATAGAATTTGAGTGAGTTCAAGCAACAAAACCATAGCAGTGTAATCCTTTATATGGTATCAAGAGAGCCAGACCTCTAACGAGTTGTTTTCCTTTCTTGCTTCTTGCGACATGGCTGCCATCCCTACCTCCACCACTGATTCACCCATCATCACCATCAATGCCGCAACCACCATCAATGAGAAACTCACCCTTTCTACCCTTTCCTCAATGGAGGGCTCAATTTGAAGCACTGCTCATTGGTTATGACCTCATTGACTTTGTCACTGGTGTAAAAAAATGCCTTGCCATTGATGAAACGCCCTCCGCTGCCTCCAAATCCACGAACTCCCAATGAATTCATCAAGATAAACTCATCCTCCATGTCATTCTTGCCTCCACCTCAACCACTATTACCCCACTCCTTGCTGCCTACAAAACATCCCATGAGGCTTGGACAACACTTACCCGTTTATATGCAGGAAAATCACGGACGCGCGCGATGCAACTCAAGGAAGACTTGACCTTAAGCACCCGAGGAAATCGCACCGTCACTGAGTTTCTTCGAGCAAGCAAAGTGATTGCCGACGAACTTGCCATCATTGATCATCCGATTTCAGATGATGATTTAACCCTCTACATTCTAAATGGATTGGGTCTTGAATTTAGAGAAATTGCGGCACCCATTCGTGCTCGTGAGACCTCTCTGAAATTTGAGGAAATCCATGATCTTCTTATAGGTCATGAGAGTTACCTTCGTCGGCTGGAGAATCAATCAATAGTAACATTTGTTTCCACTGCCAATTACTCTCATCGACACAAAGGTGCCCCTGGACAGCATAAACCAAGCCCTAAGTCTTCCTCCAACAGGCCTCACAGCAACAATAGGCATCACAAAAATGGGCCCTCATATTCAGGCCAGAGGAAATATAGGCCCAAGTGTCAATGGTGTGATCAAATGGGCCATACGGCCAAAAATGTCCTCAGCTGACTTCACTGCCAATTGTGCAACATCCTCTCACGAAAAAAATCACAAGTGGCTAGTTGACTCGGCGGCATCTCACAACATGATCACCGAGCTTTCTAATCTGTCCATTAATTCTGAATATGATGGTACTGATGAGGTGGTAATTGGTGATGGATCAGGTTTGCCCGTATCTCATATTTGTTCCCTATCTCTTGCATCGTCTAATCGTGTCTTTCATTTACATGATACCCTGTGTGTTCCAACTATTCAAAAAAATCTTATTTCTGTTCACCACTTTACCAAGCATAATAATGTTTATCTTGAATTTCATCCTACTTATTTTTTGGTGAAGGATCGGATCACGGGGGCGACATTACTCAAAGGCGAATGTGAAGATGGAATGTACCCATTTCCGGAGCATCTATCACCAAACTCCAAAAATGTTGTTGCTTATGTTCATGAACGTACTACCCCTGATAGATGGCACAAAAGACTTGGTCATCCATCGTCAAAATTGGTCCATCATTTAATTCATGCTTTTTCTTTACCCACCAATAAGAATGGCAATTTATCTCTTTGTACTTCATGTTCTCAAAATAAAGCTCATCGCCAACCATTTAATACTCATGATCTCACTAGCACCGCTCCCATAGAATTGCTTTACACGGATGTTTGGGGCCCCTCTCATGAAAGTGGCATTGATGGCTCCAAATATTATGTTATTTTTGTTGACCACTATACCAAATACATTTGGCTCTATCCTATGACTCATAAATCCAATGTTCCAACAATTTTTTCGCAATTCCGAAATCTTGTGAAAAATACTTTTAACTCAAGAATAAAGAGCCTTTATTCCGATAATGTTGGGGAATATATTACCCTCAAATCTTATTTTTTCGTCCATGAGATTAGTCATTACACCACCGCTCCAAAAACTCCACAACAAAATGGTATGTCTGAACAACGACATCGCCATCTTGTTGAGACTGGTCTCACCTTACTCACAGATGCTCACATGCCTCTCTCATATTGGCCATATGCGTTTCAAACTACTGCCTATCTCATAAATAGAATGCCCACCTCGACTTTGAACAATCAATCACCATTTGAAAAATTGTTCAAACAAATCCCCAATTATCTTAAGCTCAAACAATTTGGTTGCCTATGTTATCCATTAACTAAGCCCTATAACAAAACACAAACTTGAGCCCAAGGGCCAACCATGCACATTTGTGGGTTACTCTCTCTCCCAAAACGCATATCTCTGCCTTGAGCCTAATACCCGCAGGATTTTTCACTCTCGGCATGTCATCTTCCACGAAGGGCATTTTCCCTTTCAAAAATCAAACCCTAACAGTCCCGTGCCCATCTCAAATTCCCCAACTGCCCAAGACTCCTCTGTTCCGATCTCATTGCCGCAAGTTCTCCTGGCTCCACTTGGAAATACTGAATCTTCGGAAGTGGGTGTTGTCCTCTCACCGTCGTCTGCGAATGGGTCATCCCCTACACCGCCTCCTCTCCAGGGAAGTACCCTCTCTACTCCTTCCTTGCCTGCAAGAATGCCTGAACCTGTTGTCCCTCAAAATAATGCAGTTCGTCCTCACAGAATGACAACCTGATCCATGAATAATATCTATAAGCCCAAAAACTCCTTTGTAGTCACTAAGCACCCTCTTCCACCCTCCTTGGAACCCACAAGTGTTATTGAAGCTCTCACTGATTCTAGATGGCGTGATGTCATGTCTTCCAAATTGACTACATTAATGTGTCACAATACATGGCAACTAGTACCACCTCCGACTGATTGTAATATTGTTGGCTGTAAGTGGGTGTTTCAGATTAAGAGGCATGCTGATGGCTCTATTGATCGATTCAAGGCCAGACTCATGGCCAAAGGGTTCAATTAGAGACCAGACCTTGACTATAAAGAGACATTCAGTCCTGTAGTAAAACCAGTCACCATTCGCACTGTCTTAACTCTTGCTATTATGTATGGCTGGTCTCTAAGGCAATTAGATGTCAATAATGCCTTCCTTCATGGGCATCTCATTGAAAAGGTGTATATGAAACAACCACCCGGCTTCAGGAGTCCAGAACAACCAAATCACATTTGTTGTCTTACAAAGGCAATATATGGGCTCAAACAAGCACCTCGTGCTTGGTTTTCTGCTCTCAAACAGGCGCTGTTAGAATTTGGTTTCATTAATACTAATTCTGACTCTTCTCTGTTTGTGTTTCATGATGGTTCCATACTTGCCTATTGCTTAGTTTATGTTGATGATTTGATTCTCACTGGTAACAATTCGACATTTGTTGCAAGCATTATTGATCAACTTGGGCAGAAATTCTCACTCAAAGATTTGGGGCCCTTACATTTCTTCCTCGGTGTTGAGGTCATTCCTACCAAAGAGGGCTTGTTTCTAACTCAGCATAAGTATATTCGAGATATACTAACTAAAACAAGTATGGATGGAGCTAAGGATGTCACAACTCCTCTCTCTACCTCAATCTCTCTAAAGCTGGCAGATGGTTCTTCATCAGTTGACTCCACCGAATATCGTAGAGTGATTGGAGCATTGCAATACTTGTCCTTAACTCGTCCTGATATAAGCTTTGCAGTGAATAAACTCTCACAGTTT